TCTCTCTCTCTCTCTCTCTCTCTCTCTCTCTCTCTCTCTCTCTCTCACACACACACACACACACACACACACACACACACACACACACACGAACGGTCAAACACACGCACGCACACAAACACACATCATCATCTCTGGATCTCACACACACAAAGAGAGAGAGAGAGAGAGAGAGAGAGAGAGAGAGAGAGAGAGAGAGAGAGAGAGGAACAGAAGTACCGAGATCAAGGAGATGGAGGAGGAACGGAAGGATAAGACAAACCCGGAGGTGAAGGAGAGGAGTAGCTCACATACGGAATCTGTTTGCGGCCAACTGTCAATCAGTCGCTCGATCGCTCACACGCTCGAGCCGCGCCTGGCTCCCTTCCCGAACCTCGTTGAGCTCTACACGTGGCACTCCCACACCCCCGCTTTCCTTTCCTCCCCGTTAAATTTGGATCGCTTCGATGAATCGCTCTTTGCCTCGAAGGGCAGCTTTGCGCATGCGATATCTTTCCTGGATAAGCCGAATCTCCAAAATCGAAAATTCCAGAAATTATCCGCCACGCATGTCCTTTCCAGAAATTCTCAGCGTCCATCGGCCTACGTAGCTCAGGGCATACTCACACTACTGGGTAGCACGTATTTTCGCGAATTTTACGTCTGTCAATTTGCGTTTATACGGCACTTCCGGGTCACACTGCGAAAATACGATGTGGAAAGGCACGCAATGGGTATTGGGCTCAATACCCATTGGCCTCGTGTACCTTCCTGCACAAGCCTGATGACGGCAACCTAGAGATAGAGATAGGCCCTTGGTTACCCCGAGCGACATTGAGCAGAGACTGCTGACGTTCATAGGGGTAGTGGAGGCACGGCAACTGGCCCATTCAATAAGCTCGTTTTCTATGGTACCGGCTGACCCTGGCCCGTATAGCCCACCTGCTGCAGCAGGTATCGTACCTGCTGATGGGTGCAGCTACCACATGTTCCCTAGTTGGAGGCTTGAACACGGATGCAGCTACTACGGGGTTCCTGTACGTAATACTATAATGACAATAAAAAAAGGCGTGAAAGGCCATCCTGTCCAGATTGGAGAGGTAATCCTACCCTTTATAGCGCATTGGCTGCGGGCGGGAGGATGGTGGTCCGCTGCGTGCCGAAATGCGGTGCAAAAATGCGTGTGGGCCATCGGATGGGGCCGGGTGCTTGCAGAGCCGGTTTTCTACCAGTTCGTTCATAGCACGCCAGACCACCAGTACCTACCGGTTGTTCAGGCCCGAACCTCTATCTGAACAACCCGAGCCTCAGCCTACCAGTATCCCAAAGCTTGCCAAGCCTCAAGCTACCGGTAGGTGCATATAAAAAAAACGAAAAAGAGAGAAATAAAAAATAAACAACTTTCGTATATAAAAGCAAAAAGGAAAAACAAAGAAAACCGTTGTACACCATTTCTCCCAGCGCGGCAGCGGGAAAGAGAGAG